AGTCGTGTGCCTGATGGTAAAGCTACACGCCTGTCCATAACAGTTGCAGTGCCACTCAGAGCTTTAAATCGCAAAGATTTGAGGGGCACCGCCGCTGCGCCCGTCACCCTGAGACATAAGTGATAAGTCCCGTGTACCTGTAATTTCACTAGCAGCCTCACCCTTTAAAACCGAAACACAGTTAACACAGTGAACACATTACTGCTTGGGGGCATAAATAGGTAAAGTGCGAGTACTTCCCTGGACGAACTCTTTCACAAGGAGCTTTACTGCTTCCAAAATCGAACTTAGTGCATAAGCGACATTCGAAGTGGTTCCGAGTTTTCTGGATTTATACAGTCTCGGATTCGGAACGAATACGAATGCTTGGCAGCAGAAATAGGTAAAGTGAAGGTTAAATACTTCCTTGGACGGACTCTTTGACAAGGAGCTCTTCTGCTACTATTGTTTTATGCCATAAGTTATGAAGTTGAGAAAAGCTCTTGATCACATCGATAAATCTTAATGTGTTCTTGACCAAACTAAGTTGTTTTATTATAATCGTCTTTTCTTCTTGTCTATACCATTAGATCTTAAATAACCTTCGAATCCTAACGACACTATGTGTACAAATCATTGACCTGCCAAGAAATAATAAAATCGTCTTGCAAACAACTGGGACAACATTTTAATACTACTTTTTTCCTGTTTTGTGTAGGAGTATGAGTAACAAGATATGTATAGGTTTCGTTCCGTATTAAAAAGTACAATAATGTAGTGTTAGTAATGTTTGCCTTAGAGTATATCTTTCGAGCCAAATCAAAACATTGCAAGGCTCAATAATGTGTTTTGAAATTTCATAACAAAAAATCTTTCGGCTGTTATCAATGAAAAATAAATTTATGCGTTTTTCAATAGCTTATTTTACAAAGTAAAATTATATTGGCTGAAGAGATTTCTTTAATATCCAACGTGCAAAGTAAGTTAAATGTATTTTTTTAATAACTAACCTCAAAAATTACAAAATAACCGCAAAATCATTTTTGCAGTCTTTTCTCAAAATGCTGCTTTTGAAATTATATAGTTAAATAATAATTTTACAGTAGTAACTTAAGATATGTGTGAAATAAGCACAATTTTAAGTTTTATGGAACGGTTTTTGCAGCTCTTGGGAACGTACTGTGCCTGTCAAAAGATAACATTGATTTTCTTATGTTACACTAGAAAATTATAAAATTTAATCGACACAAAAACGCATTGGTGGTTTAGATTGCTATTATGTTTCTAACAATCAGAATTGAAGACAGTAAATTTTAAAAATATCTGAATGCGCTTAAAAATTTGATAGAATATTTATATGATGGTTGTTAGTATGTAGCTAATTACTCCGTCCGTCAATAGCGAGAGAGGAGCGAGACATTTTCGGCAAACATAAAACCTAGTTTAAAAAAAAAAAAACACTAAAAATAAACAACCACGACAAACACACTGTCTACTGCTTCCAGAGTGGCAGCGATATTTCTCTACAATGAACATCTGTCAGAAGTGTACAAAATATTACCGTCATGCAATAGGACAAGAGAAATTGTATTCATTTGATTTTTGTCAGCGCGACCACTCAAGATTCCGGGTATAGAGATATATCACAAAGACGCCATTTTCCAGACAGAATTTAAGTGTTAAAGAAAGAGCTAAGCGTGCACAATTGCTGTGTCTGGATTGAACGGAGAATCCATACGGGCTTAAGCGACTAAAATATTTTGCTCACGACTGACAACGCTTTATGTTATTAGGGAGTTAGGTCTTTATAACAATGTGTAATTTATGCCTACAACAGAGGATATACACAGCATACGCCCCATTTTCATAAGACTCGGTCAACGTTGCAACCGGAACGACTGAAAATCAGCGTCTGTCTCGTAGGAGATAAACACTTTGCAGTGCCGTGTTCTTTTTTCTTTTGTGCAATACACGTTTACCTCAGTAAAGTGAATAATATTAGCTCACTAAATATTACTCAGTTATATAATAACTTTTTGTTTTAGTGTTAAGTATTAAAATGTAAAAAAGTTTTTCGTTTTTCTTTCTTTCAAATGTCTATAAGCGGCAGTTTTCCATCAAGTGAATTGTTTTGATGTTGCTTGCCAGCTTTTTAACATTCTGAATTTTTTTTAAATTAGAAGACAATGTTTAATATTTAAATCAAAGTGAGAAGGTTTTGTGAAAAGCGGAAGCTTTTAAATATGTAAAAGTAGGGCTGAATCAATTCGTGTCGTATCCGAAAGATGTTTAGCTTTGGTATGACTTTGGTATATTAATTGATATAATCTGCCTGGCTAGCTATTAGGTTGAAAAATTGATAAATGAGTGTCAAGGCTAAAAATAAAGAGGATTATTTTATTTATTTTTAATTTTTTAAGATACTAAGTGACAGGAGTAAGAAGTTGGGCGGCTGGTGGTAAGCGACTCGCTGGACCATAGCACTTGCCACTCAGAGCTATAAACCGCAAAGATCTGATGAACACTGCCACTATGCCTATCGCCCTGAGACACAAGTTGACAAGTCTCATTTTCTCTCTCATGTGCTTGTAATTTCACCAGCACCCTTATCCCCTGTTCACAGGGCATTGCATTGCACTTTTTTTGCAGTATAAATCTGAATATAATAAACTATGGCGTTTACACGTCGTCGTTTGTACTGCAAATAACGCACATGACTGAATACGTTTATCGAGTACTGCAAAAATACGTGCAGTGTAATGCTGTGTAAACGGAGGCTTATCCTTTAAAACCGGAACGCATTAATGCTCACATGACTGCTTGGCGGCAGAAATAAGTAAGGTGGCGGTTCCAGTTCGTCCAGAACTTTTTCACAAGGTGCTCTATGGCTACTAAAAATTAGATACAACCATATGTATGACTGTTTTGTTACTTTGTATCGTATTTTCCTATTTAGGCCAATTACTTTTACACGTGTATAGTATTAAATTTCCGATGAATACAACCTATAACCCAGAATACCTTCAAATTTACGTGTTGTATTTATTTATCAGAAATTTGATATTAGGCTTATAATTTTGGTACAAACTATTCGGTTATTCCATATTATTCACTGTTTTTCGACTAGAGAAATGGCAAAATTTCCAATTTTTTCATGCGTCGATAAATTCTTAATTTTCTTTAATGAATCTTTATCCTAGAACAGACTTGACATTAATTTGTCTACTAAGCTATTAAATTGCTTCGTTTATTAGTTGTTACAATTACTGGCAAAAATCATCAAGGGACCTTTGAATAAATGAATTTCTTTTTATAATCCAAGTGACGAAACAAATAAGTCGTGCGCCTGGTGGTAAGCGACACGCCTATCCATAGCAGTTGCAGTGCCACTCAGAGCTTTAAATCGCAAAGATCAGTCCCATGTGCCTGTGATTTCACCAGCACCCTCTTCCAAACCGGAACGCAGTGATATTTACATTACCGCTTGGCGGTGGAAATAAGTAAGGCGGCAGTACTTCCTTAGACGAACTCTTTCACGAGGAGCTCTGCTGCTACTAAAAACTAATAATATTACAAAACTATTGTAATATTATTAAGTTTATTGAATATCACTTAAAGGAGAAAAACTTTCATACATTTCTCACAGAATGCGCTGCAGCAAAACACGAATTATAAATGAAAAACAAAGATCTGCAAAAATTTGTAAGATGTGCTGGTGCGTTCCGTAGCTAAGTTGGAAGAACGTCAGTCACTGTATAATAAAGGCGCTGATTCGACTCCAGCCGAATCGAATTAATTTTTATATGTTAATGTTTAGATGAATTATTTTTAGTGAAGATAATTTGATTTTAAATCGCTGTAACCATGTCGTAACGCTATCCAATATAGCACGAATTAATGAAATATTCTTTTTTAAAACAGTAACCAGCACAAAGATTGAAACGACACACTTTTTGACTTAACTCGCAGATGTTACCTTCTCGTTATTTATGAACCAGGTGAGGTGCGGTGGGGGGTGCGCAGGGGTGCTCTGACACGTTGCGTCCAAATATTCGGTCGATGTCAGCTTTTTGTGTTTTATTTTTATCTTTGGACGAAATTTTTGGCGAACTGCAATAAAAAAATATATGATTGGCTTTTATAAGAAAATCACCCAAAAGTTATTGTGAATATTTTCAAATGGAGTCAACGAGTTTCTACATAATAATAAGTTTCTATATAACAACACAAGAACCCTTTTGGTGCTTCAACCCTGGTATGTGGTGGAGTGTGTTAATTGTTTGCAGAAAGTTTACAACTTCGGGACCATAGCAAATAACTACTATTTACGGTAATGTTGTTGTTTCTATGGAACTAAAGTTGAATAACAAGTTATACAGCGACGAGTGGAACCTTTCTCTTCCGATGCTACTTATACGTTTTGTTCCTTTCCAAATATCTCTAGATATTTCTGGTATAGTCAACTTATTCGCGCTGAAAAAAAATACTGGGGATTGAGACAAGCAACGCTAAATTGTCAATAGCGATAATACAGTGTCCTTTGATTGAATGCTTTCAATTCCAGTATATACAATTTGCTCCTTGGTGTAATAAGGCTATACCTGCAAAAACTAAAACTTTTCAGGAGAGAGTCTTACGGCGCTTTCAAATTGGACGCTTACAGAAGCGCTGCAGTAGCACTACACTGTGGCGCTGCAGTCGCGCCACTACTAATTTTCATGAAGTATTTAGAAGGGCAATTGCATGGCCACTGTCGTGACACGCGCGTCATTTTTGCAGTCACAATCATAATAACGCAATAAGACAATAATTTTATGCTTAAATACGAGAGTTTTCAAAATTTCACTTATCGTCGGTGTTTTGTAGAAAGGGCGAAAGCGCAATTTCGAAACAGTTTTCAGTTTTTGAAACAGGTTTCAAATTTACGTCTTGTTTTGATCTCGATTTTAAAACATTCGTGAAAAACTAAAACATCCTCCCCAGGAAAATCTACAAAATGTCGCTTACGCCCTTTTTAAAAAACACCAACGCGGTATTAATCAAACGTATTGATGATCAGGTAATGTAATGTATATGTTACCGGAAATATATGAAATCTAGGAATTGTATACAAATCCTATGTATACAACTCCGAAGCTATCTAGGAAATGTATAAAATATTGTTTCAAAAACTATTTGTTACATAAATGTCCTAGAAAATGTGTACAATTCCTAGGAATTGTATATAATTCCAATATCGTATTAGGAAATGTATAAAAATAATTTTTCGTTGTTAAAATGAGAATAATATTTTTTGTTAAAGCACTCATTGCCCAGAGGGACTTCCGCGTTTGTATAAAAAACCTAACTTAATCTAAATAATTCGATTCGTTTCTGCCCAGAGGGACTTCCGCATTTGTATAAAAAAAAAACCTAACTTAACCTAAATAGTCCAATTCGTTTCTGCCCAGAGGGACTTCCGCGTTTGTATAAAAAAAACCTAACTTAACCTAAATAATCCGATTCGTTTCTGCCCAGAAGGACTAGGACGCGCGTACGCACTGACAGTTTACGCGGCAGTTAGCGCGATCGCCTGATCAGACGAATCAATACCCTCCCCTCGCCCCGCTATCCCCGCGTACCCATTGAAATCTCAAATGTTTTACATTTCCGATTGCTATTTAGGAAATGTATAGATTTCCTAGGAAATGTGTCTGATATAATTTATTTTACACATTTCCGTGCGATTTTAGGAATTACATACATTTTCTAGGAATTGTATACAATGACGGATTACATACATTTCCGGTAACAACAATGTGGTATTTTTTTCATTCGAACGAAATCCAAACATAAAAAAAAGAGTGTTGCCGGGGTAATTGCTTTATTGATTATGTACTTTTCAAATTAAAAATAGAAATATAAACACGATATCGCGTTGATAATGACATAATATGACGGCAATGTATGGATAATGAAGGATAATGGTATGATAATACAAACATTACAGTGTATTTTTTAAAATGTATATTTATATAGATGACGTTCTGAGTAACCTGGTGTATAGTTACAATTTATCATAATTTTATGTTATCATTGATTCGGTCAATTTTAATATTGAGGTATAGTACCTATATAAAGATAAACTCGTATTATTTTTGAAACCAAACTTTTCTATGCGAAGTTTCAAAACGGTTCTCATTGAAGTTTGCAATGTTCTGATGGACGTGAGTTTCTGAAACGGAATATTCATTATGAGCAGACAAAATGCAATGCCATCTCACTTCAGAGGTGTAACAAGGCGCTATTTAAAAAGTTTAATTAAATGTTAGTCGCACGGACTTATTAATTTAAGTTCAGATTGTTGATATGGTAGTCAGATTCGAATAATCTAACGGTGCATTCGACGAGGCGAGACGAGGCGAGATTCCATATCTCGCCTACTTGTTTCCGCCGAAAATTACCGCTATTGCGGTTGACAACTTATGTTGTCAACCGCAATAGCGGTAATTTTATTAAAAAAAATTAAATACTTAAAGAGTAAATTACGTGGTTGATAAATTTTACAAGTTCGACTGCAGGGCGCTCTGCAATTATTTGCAGAAAAGTAATTTTTATAATCTTAAATCTACATATCTCACAATCTCGCTATTGATATTAGTAGCCACCGTGAGCTCGCGCCGACACGCGCATAACATCGCGTGAATCGTCTTTTTGTAACTGAGTTAAATTAATTCTATGTAGCATCAATATGCTTCAATATAATACGAATAAGTAGGTATATTAATCAATTCAAAACTATTTCCGTTGAAGATGCGCTAAGAGAAAACTAAAATCTTTTCATACAAATTTCAATCCTCGTCTAGACTCATCTCGTCTCTCCTCGCCGGTGGAAAAATGCTTGTCTTACGAGTTTATTAAAATTTAATCTCGCTTAGTGATTACATGTTCACACCTGTGCGTTTCACAGTTGAGCGCGAATTTCCACCGTAGAAGAAAAAATATATTTTCAAAAATTGCTTCCATATTTCAACAGATACTTACGGGAAAAAGTGAATTTTAGGTTTAAAGCACAGAAATCTAAATAGTTTGTTCTAAATGGTTGATTTCTGTGCTAATTCGTCTACTAGTGATAATGCATACTTTTAGTAATTGTTGTGAACTGCTTTAAACTTTTTGAAATTTTGCTTTGAGATTAAAAATTCAGATCCATTTAAGTGTTCAGTACATGGCCATTAGTACTACCTTGTTTCAAAATAGAATATTGAGAAACGGATTTAAAGTTAAAAAAAGATACGGACTTAATTATGATGGACGCCTTGTACCTATACATTAAAGATTCAAAAGCAGTGGCCGTTGCGCGGACGGAGTCCACCAATGTCGCCTTTAAAATATATGTACATATGTATACTACACAACTTTAAGGTCGTTTATCAGTCATTTATATATTGGTGAAGTGGAGATGATTTGGTGCTGGGGCTTTAAAATAACAATAACTTTACTCACCAATTACTGTAAGTTCATGTATCCTGGACACTTTGGAGTAGAAGAGCGGAGTCTCGATGGCAACTTCACACGCGTACGACCCCGATGCGGTGAAATCCATCTTGTCCAAAGTTATCGATGTTGGCGTCAGTTTCATTAGCTACAAACACAATAAAACAAGTATTTATTATTACTAAGGAAGACATATCGCACCTCTCATGAAAGAATGGTATAAGCGGAGTCACATCAAAAACGTTTATTGCTCCATTGGGTGCAGAAAAATATAACCCACATCCTCTCCAATTATTGTAACTCTATCTACAATATTAGTGGATAGAGTTACAGGAATTGGAGAGCTTGACTAAACATGTTTGACGTCACTCCACTTATGTCATTGTTCCCTGAAGGATGCGTAATTATGTGGCTTAATATATTTATTTAAATGTAAGTCTGAATACAATAAAAACAAACATGATTGAAACGATAACCGGGAAAAAACGGTGATCGTGTTTTGCACAATACAATGCGACTTCTTTATTACAAACACTAATTAAACAAATCCTTGAAGGGAAGCGGGTTTTGTTATTTAAATAACTTTATGTAGAATACTTAAAAGAAAAGAAAAACAAAATGAGCAAAAGGATACATTGTTCTAAGTATTTATTTTATTTACATCTGCTCAAAAACACTTCTTTTGAGCGGCTTAAATAATATTGTGTTCAATTATTAACTAAACGATTAATTGTCACCAGTTACAGATTTCATTCAAATATGTAACTTTTTTTTATGATATTATTTGACGGATTACAAAAGATAAGATACGGAGATTACAAGACGTGCGCCTGATGGTTGCAGTTGCAGTGCCACTTTGAGCTTTAAACCGCAAAGATCTGAGGGACACTGCCACTGTGCCCGTCACCCTGAGACATAAGTTGAGATGACCCACGTGCCTGTAATTTTACCAGCACCCTTCAAAACCGTAACGCAGTAACGCTCACATTACCGCTTGGCGGCAGAAATAGGTAAGGTGGCAGTATTTCCCTGGGCGATCTCTCGTCTAAGATAGTTAAATAAAAAGTCATATCGTGGTAAAAAACCTGTAATCAGTGATTAGTTAGGTATTTTTATTTTGTATTTAGTAAGGTGATTAGTTAGGGAAGAAATCAGAAAGGCTTGTGGAAATGGGCGACAACTATGGGAGGCCATTGGTAAAGTTACCAATGTAACTAAAAATAAAGCTGTGAATGATTCACTGTTACACGTAGGAAACACACCTCAGGACTCTATAGATATGGTGAACCATTCTAATCCTAGTCGTTACATGGTTGAACGATGCAGTGGTGATTCATTTGTTTTATTGGAGACGAACGAACAAGAGGTAGAGCATTTAATTAACACTCTAAAAGCAGATTGTGCAATAGGATGGGATGGCATTTCTGGAAATTTATTAAGACGATACAAATACCTTATTATACCGCCGCTCTCTTATATATGTAATTTGAGTAGTTCTACGTGAGTCTTTCCTGACCAATTCAAACGATTGAAAACTTTTAAACAATTATAGGCCCATCTCTGTCCTGCCAGCCTTTTCAAAGATCCTCGAGCGCATTCTAAATAATAGGTTGGTAAATTATCTGGAAACTGGCCAATTTCTATCAGATAATCAGTACGGGTTTCGAAGGGGTAGAACCACTTCTGACGCAGTCCATAATTTGGTCGATCATGTTGTTGTCAGCTTGGATAAGCGGTACGGGTATCTTGGTGTGTTTTTGGATTTGGCTAAGGCCTTTGATACTATTTCGATACCCCGACTTCTGCATAAGCTCCAGGCATTGGGACTAAGGGGCTTGCAGTGAAACATTTTTGAGAGCTATCTCACAGGTAGGTTCCAGTGTGTTAGAATTGGTGATTATACTAGCGTTTCCCAACCTTTCACCTTTGGGGTCCCTCAGGGCAGTATTCTGGGTCCTACTCTTTTCCTGGTGTAAATTGATGACCTTTGTAATTTACAACTTCAAAACTGTAAAAATTTCTCATATACTGATGACACTGCACTTATATTCACCGGGGTAAATTGGGATGAAGTTTATCAATCCGCCCAGTCGGGCTTTGACGTGGTGAGGGAGTGGCTAGAAGACTATCTGCTCACACTTAATGTGGACAAGACTAGAGTGGTGCCTTTTTCTATACGTAAACATACTCTACCGCAAACTATCTTAAGTTTACTGTTATCTCCACCCAGGTGCCGGGATCTGAGGCTGACGTTTTGAAAACTGTCAAAAGCATAAAATATCTTGGTTTGCTATTTGACTCTACACTCTACTTTAGACAATACATACATCTACTGTCAGCGCGCATCCGTAAGCTAATTTATATTTTTAAATGTCTTCGTCATGTCGCAGACGTCAACATCATGAAAATGGTGTATCTTGCTCTAGTACAAAGTTTACTAACCTATTGCATTACTAGTTGGGGTGGGGCTGCTAAAGGTAATTTTATTCTTATAGAAAGAGCACAAAGAGCTTTACTAAAGCTTGCCTGCTTCAAACCCTACCGGTTCCCAACGAGAGATCTTTACTCTTTCTGTGAAGTTCTAACTGTTAGACAGTTATTCGTTCTCTGGACTGTTTTAAAGCAACATTCCCTCACTCCATACGACAGCGCCTCTAATAGACGACATTGCATAATGGCTACTTCTGACCATCTCAGGACTGCCTTCACTCGTAGATTTTTCTGTTTCCTGGGATGTTTTCTGTACAATGCACTATATATATATATTTATATCCGTAACTACGCACACACACATAATACAACACGCACTCATAGTCAAATATCTTTTACGTGCAAGAAAGTTTTTAAATTTAATTTTAATTTAAGTTTGATCTTTTAGGTGTATATAGTTCAATAATGTCAAATGTATTTTTTCACTATTTAAATGTTTTTCCTTTATAAACAATTAATCTTAGTAATACCTTAAGATTGTCATGTGTCATTTCCAAGGGTGCGAGCCTGGCGACTTATAGTACAGGCGTTAAGCCTTTAACAAGCACCAACTCCCAAAAATAAGTTATTGCGTGTATCTTAAATTACTAAGAACTATATGTACATATTTTTGTGGAGGAATAAACGTTACTATTATTATTATTTTACTTATACATAATAAATATTTTATAGAAAAACTTTTATTGTATTTTATTAAACAGTTTAAAAAATATATTAGCGAATATAAAGGCTATACCCAACAGATTTAAATATGACTTATAATCTTGACTTACAAGATAGATAGACAATAGTTGATTTAGTGAGAGTACATTTTAGTGTAGTATTAAAATAGTAGGTATTTTGTGCTACTCGAAACTTTTATCACAATATGGAAGTCAAAAAAATAATACGAACTACAAACAAATTATGTATTGTCAGGCGGGGTAAGAAAATACTTTATTTTGAGTCAAATGTTTTGAGCTCTAGAAACAACAGATAAAGTCTTATAGGAATGCCATTGTCTATCAGCTTAATATGTTTCAACATGTAATCATTACGTTAAATTCAATACTTACGATGTATATGTCGAAAAAATGCAAATTGTACGTTTCTCTCCCCCGAAAGAGGGGGTAAGAGGAAAATTCATCGCATATATTTCTTGCAAAGGTTCTCGTGTTCTCAAGATTTCACAACTGTCAAATTTGTTTGTTGCGCCTTTTGAATTTGGAGCATCATAGCGACATCTTTTTAAAATCGTTTAAACGAAATTCGTTTGTCTGTTTTATCGACTGATAAAAATAGACTGAGAAAATAGTGATAAACTCTTTATATTATGAGTTAAGGCTTCAAGACCCACTGGTGTCCCACTTACCTCACCTGACCTTATGTGTTAAATTTTATAGCTTTCCCTTTTTTTTATAAAAGTTGTAGCCAAATTTTCTTTGTAGACTCTTTATAACGTTCTCCCGAAAAGTTGCTATTTTTCAGTTGGCCATAATTACACCAAAAGTGCGGTATCATAAACGTCATAGAGAATTTAGATATTACGAATACAGAGTATAACAAAATTAGTTAACCTGGTCGTTGTTTGCTTTAGTACGAGTAACACACATTTCACACATTAATTTCCAGACCACAATAACCTGTGGTCTGGAAATTAATTTTAGCGCTGATGATATTATTATCGCTTTTGTATGAACAATCAAAGTACTACGGTCCATTGCCTTTTCTACATTTTCTAATAAAAATATTACTAAAGAACAGGTAAAGGAGTTATATTCCAAACCATTTTCCTTGAATCGATCACCCTTGGCGTCCAATGGTGAGCAAAGTGTATCATTCTTTATTTTGGACTCTATCTCTTCCAAATACGACATGAAATAAGAATGGGAAACAACCTTAATAAGGTCACTTACAAAGTAAAAAATGTCAAAGGAAAAACTCTTGTAAAAAATAAAAACAGTACACGGGTTGATTTATCATCGGTAACGAACGATGTTCTTTTAAAGATATTTCCATTTTGTGAGATCTGTATGTAATAGAAAAGTTTCCTTCTACTTTTGAATTCCTGAACGCAACTTTGTGTAATTGAATTGATGACATTCCTACTTTACAGTCTGATGTTTAGACGACCTTGGTGCTTAGAGGATGGAGGAAAAGGGCGACCCCTCATACCTCACTTCCTAAAACCTAGGCTCGCATTGAAATAAGGCGGTGTTGACGGCTCTGCACTTTCGCATTTACTGTCGATCTGATCCTTGTGTTAAAATAAAGAACGATTGTATTATTATTATTGTTATTAAGATAATTTGCATATCTTCGTTTAACGTTTTGATACGCTAAATTTGATTCATGTTTATTTGTAGGTACTTGGAATTTTTCCCCACAAAGAACATTTACTTGAATACGTAAATGTTGTTCAAATCGATAGAACTTACATTGATTTCGGCTCCAGTGATATTGTATAATTCGAAAGGCGGATCCCGTTCGCGCACGTACTTCATAATGCGCTGAGCGTTCTTGAAAAACACCACCTGGAAAACACGGGACTGTAAGCTTTCATATTGGGCAATAAATTAATAAATATAAGTATTAAACTACGTTGCTTTGATCTCAAAGTAAGTAACTAAAGTACTTGTGTTATGGAAACCGGGAACAAAACAGCACAACAAACACCCAGACCGGATAGTATGGAAAATTTAGTTTTCTATATTTACCCGGCCGGGGATCAAACCCGGGACCTCAGAGATGACTACTCCATGAAAACCGGTGCGCACTCCGACGACTGAGGTCGGCAAAAAGCTTTGGAGCCTAAATAAAAGATAAGAGGACGTTGTTGTTGTCGTCGTTAATATCTATTGATAGGGCTGTGATGTGGCGAATTAAAAATAATAGACTACAGTAAGACAAAAGGCTTAAAAGTCGCAAGCTGTCGCTAAACGTGTATTTCCTCAACTCATATCGTATGATACTTATTATAAAACCTTAATGAAGGAGTAGTTTTGACCGAATGCCGAAGGGTGTCAAGTACCGACGTTTCCGAGGCCGGTTACCCGGACACTCACGTTGCTTCACACGTCGCAGACAACACGTGTAAATAATTTTGGTAATTAGTGCTTTATTATTATGTATAAGGTATGGTATTTATGAGCATAAATAAATAAATAAAATAAAAACGACCAAAAAAAAAGACCAGTACATCTGGGCCAAAAGTCTGCTAATTTTCTTGAAATTTTCAGTGGTCATTGTAATTCACACTTCACTATGACCATATTGCAATTATGATAATATTTGTTATTCTAAAATCTAGTTGCAATGGCAGTGGAGTCCCAATAGAATGTCAATGAAATGGCGGTGATGGCATTAACTCGTTCTATCATTAAGGATCAATGTTGCCTTACTAAAATTACCGATGGTATGCTACACGCCTGTCCATAACAGTTGCAGTGTCACTCAGAGCTTTAAATTGCCAAGATCTGGGGGGCACTGCCACTGCGCCCGTGACCCTGAAAGTTGATAAGTACCATGTGCCTGTAATTTCACCAACACCCTTCACTTCAAAACTGGAACACAGTAATGCTGACATTACCGCTTGGCGGCAAAAGTAGTTAGGATGGCAGTACTTCCGTAGACAAGATTGCTACTATCAATGATAATGACAATTTAGTGCAGTAATAAAAAATACATATAAAAATATAATTTTAGTTAAACAACAATAAAATAAATTTTGTAATTAATACAGCGACATCTCTTGTCCGCTTTTGGTATCTGTAATGGTACCTGACTTAGTAAATAACTTCAAAAGTTGCTCACAGGTCTTTCTTGTTCTATTAATAATGTTATTCATGGTCAGGATTACCATTAGTTACAAATTTATGGTAGGACTTCTTCATTATTATCTACGATATTTCGTAACGGTTACACGCTCCATGATCACGGGTTGGCTGATATATAGGGATAATTATAACTCCAATCGTGTCTTGGTAAGAGTCTTGTAGAGATAAATCATTTATTAAAAAACCACGAATGTCATAAAACTGCCTCTGTAGTCGGCGGTCATAATGTCGGACTGCTACGCAGAGGTCAGGAGTTCGATTCCCTGGCGAGGAGAAATATTTGTATTGCTTACATTTATTTCTCTCGTGAGTACGGGTGTAATTTGTGGTTGCCTATGTGTGTGTCCATGGCACGCACGATACAAAATTTCTCTAGTGCGGGGCAATGAGTGTGTGCGTTATTATATATTGTTATGTAATCTATATCAACAATCACATAAAATTTACATGTACTATTGTATTTATTAAAGTACTCGTACGGCACTGTCGTGTACATTATGAACTATACAGCACGTCAAAGTATGAGAAATTACATTGACATCGTTAAACGAAAAATGAAAACATTAAATAATAATACAAAATGTAACAAAACTGACGACTTCGGTGGCGTACGAGTTAAAGCCGTACGGCGTCGTGGCGTACGGTTTTAACTGTTTAACTGCCTGTGCCGAACGGTTACCATGCCGGACTGCCACGCAGATGTCCCAGGTTGGATTCCCGGGTAGGAAGAAATATTAGTATGGCCTACGTTATTTCTCTCGTGAGTTTGGGTGTAACTTGTGGTTGTTTATGTATGTGTCCATGGCACCCGCGACACAGGGTTTCCCTAGTGCGGGGCTATGTTGAGTGTGTGCGTTATTATTATTATTACTGTGGGAGCTGAATGATAAGGTCCCAGATTCGATTCCTAATTTGACCATTTAGTGGGAAATTTACTTTAATTTTAATTTATTAAATATTTTTTTATGATACGTGTAGTGAATAGTGACGGGACGAACAAGTCGAGGGCTGGGAGTAAGCGACACGCCTGTCCATAACAGTTGGCATTGCCATTCAGAGCGGCAGAAATAGGTAAGGTGGCAGTACTTCCCTGTCAAACTCTTTCACAAAGAGGTGTACTGCTACTAAAAATAATAGTTGTGTTGTTGTTTTTTAAGAAATTAAAAGTTTATGATTGGAAATGACAATGCATTTGATTACAATGAAAAAGACATGAAAATAAATGAATTTTATTTATAAAATACACATAAAACGATATAAATTATTATAATTACTATTATTATTATAAAGTATCCTACTATACCGAAGCCGAGTGGTATCTTAATGAATTATATCCGAAGGGGGGTGGCACTTTCAATTTATACATCAACATTTTCTCTGAAAACCCCTCTAACAAAATCGGCTGTTCCTTACTAAATATTTATATCCACTTGAACAAAGTACATTATAATATAATTAAGTTACGAAAGTTACTCTTTGATCTTTGATAATTTTAAATACACTAATTCACTAAATTAACGGTTAACTCACGAATTTAAGTGAAAACAAAAAGAAAAACGAAAGCTGTTGTCGTCGTGCCACCATCGCGGAAGCTCATGAAGCTGATGGATGAGGACTACGGACTGGTCCGAAACATGTCGAGCAAAAATTATACTTTATTACATAAAAAAATACAAAGTAATATTAAATAGAGAAGGTAAGCAAAGGCGGACTTATCTCTAAAAGTAATCTCTTCCAGGTAAACCAAGGTAGTGAAAACAACGGTTATAAGAAGACAACATTGTGCAAAAGACAAAGAGGAAGAAATATAATAAACTAAACAGATATAACAATGAAAGTGTTATACATAGTACGCGTGTCGCGGGGTGTCAATGGATACGGCCAACAAACCATAACCTTTCCAAAAACAATCTTATTTCAATGTAAGCTTAATGTAAGCTTATCATAGAGTTAGCTCGTACCATGACAAACCTGTCAACCAAGTAATGTATTATTGCTAAAGTGATTAAAAGAACGAATGATTTCCCAATATTGTCTATTCCTTACTGAAAACAGGAAAGAAATAACGCTGTATGAATTATACTTAGACCTGGATTTTTTTTCATCCTCTAAGGAATTATATGACGCCATCTCTTTCTTTTTTCATGTTTTGAATCGTATTATCGTTGTATAATGTTTAAAGTACTTAATGTTATTTACATTCAGATAATTTTAACTGTAATAAAAAGTATGTAATCATAAAATCTATTAAAATTACGTAGTTTTCAATTATTTTTCCGCATTTTCATGAAGAAAAATAAATAAAACAAGTTGACTCTTGATAGTCACGTTGTAAATTCGGAATAGTAAATAAGTTATTTTTAATCATTACAAATCAATATTTAGACAATAAATTCGAAAATATTGTAGCTTCCACACCGCGTCCGGGTAACTATTTTAAGATTGCTAAATTTGCTGATAAGGACAATATTACTTTAATGTTAACGTTGCGTCATAGTACGAACTGAGTGAATGAATAATCACAAAGCTGCCAATAAAACATAGTTTTACCATTATAAAAAGCTTACTTTTAGCGCGTCATGGTACGAAAAGTCAATGTAAGGTTAAAGTAATATTGTTTTAAGAGGTTGTGGCAGGCCCCCTGTACTCTCGTTCTCCGTCCATATCCGTTCAAAATAATTACTGTCAAATATGTAATACTCGATAAAAGACGCATGATACGAATGAAGCTTCATACTTGATCGAGTGTTACTTATTTGACAGTAATCGTTTCGGGCAGATGTCAGACGGAGAACGATAGTAGACCCCCGGACAGTGGACGGCACAAACTTCGAGAGGCCTTACTCAACAGTAGGTGAAATAAGGCTGTGGTTGATAATGATAATGACGTAAGTATTATAAACACGTAGACATTATGCATATACATTATATATTATGCATTATGCATATTTTAGTAGCAGTAGAGCTCCTTGTGAAATAGTTCGTCCAGGGAAACACTTTTTCCTTACCTATTTCTGCCGTGAAACAGTAATGTCAGAATTATTGTGTTCCGGTTTTGAATGGTAAGTATGCTGGTGAAATTACAGGCACATGGGGCTTGTCAACTTATGTCTCAGGGTGACGAGCGCTGTGGTAGTGCCCCTCAGATCTTTGCAATTTAAAGTTCTGAGCGGCACTGTAACTGTTGTGGACAGGCGTGTAGCTTACCATCAGGCGCACGACTTGTTCGTCTCTTGATGTTATAAAAAAAATATATGTATATATATTATATAGTAAATGTATTACATGTCTTAAAGATAAATATGCGAGTTATCCGTTATTTTAGTTTATATGTCTGAGTATCACGGTGGTTTTCTATTTAAATACACTTTAACACACACAAACCTTAGAATGAGACTGCAAATAAGAAGCTAAAAATAAAGAAGCTAAAAATAATTGAATCGTCTTCAAATGTATCCCTGGTTTCGTTTAACAAAATGACTCAACATCTATTCATATTTATTCGAAATTTGAATAATCCTTTGCATTTTTAGCAACCTGTTGTCGGATAAATGCAAAACGGTTTTCGCACTCTTAACGGCAGTGGTGTGGAAATTCAAATACGGATTTTGAAATCAAACTTCATGTCTCTTAAATTTCTAATAAAGTTGCACATAAGTTCCATATAACAGAATCATTTATTTCATATGAATAATGTCGTAATATAACAGTTTTGAAATAAAACGTCAAAGAATGGTCTGATATAGACGTGGACACAAATATGAAATAGTGTTTTTTATGATACCAAGTGACTGGAGGAACAAGTCGTGAGCCTGGTGGTGAGTGATACGCCTGTCCATTGCAGTTGCAGTGGCACTCAGTGCTTTAAATCACAAAGATCTGAGGGGCGCTGCCACTGTACCTATAATTTCACAAGCACCCTTATCCTTCAAAACCGAAACGCAGTAATGCCAACAGTATGCAATGCAACATTATGCTTGACGGCAGAAATAGAAAGTGGCAGTACTTCCCCAGACTCTAGAAACTCTTTCACAAGGAGCTCTACTGCTAGTAAATGTAATGTAAAATACAATAAAACAACTCCTTTGAAAGAAATTGCTCTTCAGTGTACAATTCGTTATCAAATAAAATAAGCTTTTGTCGGGTTTGTAACACTCTGTCGTTTGAAACAATTGTCAGATTTGAACGCGATTTTAGGGAATAAAACGGGTTGTAAATTAATTTTCTATAAAAGGAGTAATTTTCTTAATGATCAAACGCGTGTGTGTCAAAGTAAAGGAGTTATATTGGGGTCGTATTATACATTGAAGACAACGTTGTATACGTATACCACAGAAAAATAAATACAGTAGAAGTGTCTATTGGGCGTGACACGTATGCTAACAGTAGGCGGAGTTCCACTTAATTGAGCTTACCTCGCCATTTTCGCTTTGTATGCTACCGTCGAGTCAATTATCTCGCGCAAAACCTCGAAAATCTTGGATTATTATGCCTTATTTTGCTACTTAGGAGTGCAAAAATAACAGTCGCACCTGTTATATTGTGCTGGTGGTGTTAACCAGAAATAGAGACGAATTAAGGGTCATCCATCCGTGGCAACTCATCAGGTAAATGGACCTTAAATCACTTTTAAATATCAACTCTCGTTTGCGCTGAGATCACAAATTAGAAAACTGAAATAGTACAGCGCCAACAACTGACCTGCGTGTACTTATCCGTATATTCCAAAAATATTCTGTATTTATTTTAATAAAGATAATACCTCTAGCAATGGGGGGTGTTCCATTCGGTAGTGTGGCAAAACGGATTCACATTTCATCGGTAATTATATATTAAATATGTAATTACGCAATTTTCGTCCATTATAGCAAAACTCAAGTTAAACTGGTCTATTTGAAGTGAAATAATTGACGACACCCCTCGTTTGTTTCGAATTCGGGTTGGCCAATCGGAGCGCAGTTGTCACAGTAATGATTTGGCAGAATAGCTTTCAAACAAATTAAATGACATTACGTATCTATTTCTGTTTATATACTCGATGTTTTGTTTTAATAAATTTTCCATTTTCTGTTTATCGTAATAGATTTTTTGTTTGTTTGTAGAATGACAAGAGCTAAACGTCGTAACTTGCAGTAACAGGTATTGAACTTTCAACGATATGCCAACTGAGTAACGTTTAAATTATGTTAATAGTTCAGAATTTTGGTACACCTTGTAAAATTACAAACTAAGACCAATCATTATTAAGATTTCATAGTGTTTAAAATTGAATCACAGAATGGCGACAGCATATATATTCTGATATTAATCGAAGTTTAAAGCAATTACACTGTTTTTTCTTCCGTGACGTTATCCGTTGAGGGTCTGTGAAATTAGCATTAGAAGTTGAGGGAGTTATTTTGGAAATTTATATTAATATTGTTCCACAAGTTTTACGAATATGAATTTTAAAATGTTATCTTTCTAACTTCAAACCGAACTACGAGAACTCTTTTCTTTCCAGATTTTTAGAAGTCATAAAAACTTTTCTTAAATACATAATAACTTTTTGAGTTTTAAAATAGACTTCATTTAAACCCCGGTATTTTTTTTTTATTTTTTTTAAACACTAAGAATATTACAAAAATATATATATATATATATATATGAATAGTTATGTTCTCAAAAATACTTTTTTTATCATATTGAGTGACGGACAAACAAGTCGTGCGTCTGGTAGTAAGCGCCATTGTCCGTAACAGTTGCAATCCCACCCAGAGCCCTTAAATGGCAAACATCTGAAGAACACTGGCACGCGTCCGCCACCTTGAGGCATTAATTTATAACTACTAATTATATTTTTGTTAAATATAGAAAATCTCAAGCTGTAATATAAAGAAATTTGCCTGAAAAGACGCCTAAAACACTTGCACACATTTACTTAGTATAGGCATCGCAATTACACATTGGTTTTAATATTAAAACACATAGCTTTACAATGAAGAACATATTTAATTTAGATTCCCTTCTTAATGCTTATTCTAATATGATATTTATATTTGTTTTATTGAAGTTATATTGAAATAAATTTATCTTTATTCTTATAAATTGACAAGTCCCATGTGACGGTAATTTCACCAGCACTCTTACCCCTTCTAAACTTAAACCTAAACTGGATCACAGTAATGCACACATTTCTTTTTAATACCCGGACTATGGAAACCTTGAAATAGTGACAGACATATAACATTTATATGAGGAATAAAAATAAACTAGCTGTTCTTGACAGTCGTCTTCATAACGTCTCAAATTCATTCAAGGGGCAATGTATACGTTTCCATAATAAAATTCCGATTGATAATCAAAATTTGCTATTTACGAGACTTGAAACTATAGTGAAACAAAAACTTTATATTAAATGTTATTATTATACAACTTCTGCGTACTTGGATGATAAAAATCTATGGTAGTGACCCTTTTAGCTTTTTCGGGTATTATCAATCTAAGATGTTTAAATTAAATATTGTAATGATAAATTTTAATGTAATGAAATGTATATTTACAAAGAGCACCAATTAGAGTTTCTTGCTCATTCTTCTCAGGGGAATCTGCCTTACGAATGATAAGTAGAGTTTAATCAGTATAACGATTTCAAGTGTAATTTGCTTACCTATGAAATAAAGATTATTTGTCTTTGTCTTTAACCTATATCGCGGGTGCCATGGACACACATTGCAATTACAAATTACACCTAAAGTCACGAGAGAAATAAACGTACGTCTTACACAAATTCCTCTCGGCCTGGGAATCGAACCCAAGATCTATGGGTGGTATTCCAGCATGGTAAAGCAATTAACCGTTCGGTTACAGATGCAGTTAAATTACCGTTTGGCTGCAAAAATAGGTAAAATGGCAGCAATTCTATGAACTGCTACTAAATATAAGGAATTGCGAGAAAGTACGTCATATTATTATATTCTGACCTTATAAAGTGCCTGTGGGTCGATGTTGTGGTCGCAGCGCAAAGTGGCACTGTGATGGTGTACCACGAACCTGGGCGAATGTAAATCCACCCAAACGTCTGCCATGCCGGCCACTGGAACAAACCAACAACTTAGTTTTACAACCTCGGTAGCACAATGGTTCAATGGTTAGCACTGTGGATGTTAGATGAGGAGTTCCAGAGTCAAACCAGCTAACTTTTCTAAACTAAATATAATTAAATAACGGTATGATTGTTTAGCATATTATTGTTAATTATAAAAAAATATTTAACCGACTTCAAAAAAAGGTGGAGATTCTCAATTTGATTGTACTTTTTTGTATGTACTTTACGCGATAACTTCGGCATTTGAGAACCGATTTTGATGATTTTAGTTGGTCCCATTGTCCCTCAGTGGTCCCATTGAAATTTTATGAAAATATCTCCCCTCTAAGGATGCCAAACTAGTGGATGAATCTGTTCGCGCACTTTCCCGTAACTCGATTTCAATAAAACTTGGCAAATAGATGAAATATCGAATTCTTAGGATTTCGCGATTGTTACATATAGGAAATGAAACTATTTTTCCGCATTTAAATCGCTTTTGCATTCGCGGTCTCTTTTGCATTCGGTGGGATCTGTAAAGGATCCAAAACGTTGGTTTGTTTGTTGTGATTTAAAATGTAAACCTTGATCAAAAGGCCAGTAAGAGCTTAAGTCATCAGTTTTGAAGACAGATGTTCGTTCTTATTTATGATGAAAACTTACATTTTATTTATTAAATCTTGTGCCTTAAATTGCAACCAAATAATTCATGTTACCTCATAGGTTAGCGTTAATTTTTGAACTGTTTAAAATATGATTTTTGCTATAAATTTTTTGGTATAAATTCAACCTTAACCGCATTGCATATTGTGTTCAATATTGCACCTCACAGAAACCCCTACACCTTTGTCGGTTTCGGACCTTTTAAATTTTAATTAAAAGTGTTACTTTATGAATATATTCTGAACTATTGCAAAGTATTTATCGCTGTTAATTAGTAACTATAATTTAGTAAAATAATTTTTTTTCAAATAATAATAATAATTATTTATATAATTTTAATATTTAAAAAAAAGTTAATTAATAAATATTTGAAACATTTTACAAAGTATACCGGTTAATTAGCAACAATTACAATTTAATTGGTGTATCTGAATGATAAATAGCATCTAAGGGTATGTGGTTTGAATTTTTATATTTATTATTTATTTTTTATTTTTATATTGTTTTACTACCATGATATTCAATTATTTTTTTATACATTTTTTATATTAAATACAAAGATCGAACAATAACAAAAACAACAGAAGCTTTTACTTTTTCATCAATGGAGTTTCATGTTTACTATTACTATCAAGTTACTAATATTACTCATATTTCTTACGCTGAGTCGTTATTTTTATGCCGCTGGTTACTGTTTGGAGACGGTCCCCACCGTAAATTTCTGTGGCTATTCAAATTCCGCCGTTTCATTTTTAGCCGGTGATCGACTCAATAAATGTATTCCATGTATTGTGTTCAAGAATACATCTTTTTGTTCATGAAACTTTTAGAGGTTTTTATATTTTACACTCTCCATAACAAAGCGATGGAAATGAAAATGTTACGTTTTAAAAAGTTGACAAAAGAGATGACATAAAAACATACGAAATAAAACTTTTTATTTTAAAATATTATTTAAGCTTTTATTGTCTTTTTTACCTTACCTGAATATTATTTTAATTAAATAAAACTAAAAAACAATTCATAACATATGTTGAGCGTTACATTGAGTAATAAACGCAGAGAAATAAAGTTTTGCAAGGGCTACATTATTTTCTATTGTCAACTCTACCGCCCAACTTTATTGACCCCTCATTGATTGTCGGTGAATAGATTCAACAGCTTTTCGTATTTTATTAAGTTGGTTTAAAAAACCAATTCGAAATTCGACTATAAACTTAAAATTGTTCCCAATTATTTTATTTTATCTGTAGTCGTTTATTTTTTGTTATTAAACAAAAAGTTATACTCAGTCCCAAAAAAAAAAAAAACTACAAAATATCACATACAAATACTTTGAATATTGCGTATTTAACAAAAATCGACCTAATTATTTTATCAATATATTTAAAGTAATTTAACATTGACATAATATTTATGTGTGCCATAGATACACATATTTTAAGCACCATAAGCGCCCAATTACACGAGGATAAAGTTAAGACTGCCTGCGTTCTGTCCCCAATTTGTCCCTCGTCCTTCCACAACACAGTTCCCAAAAATATTCGAACTTGTTCACACAGTAAATGCTGCTCGTATGTGGAACCTTCTCCCGGTCGAGGTCAGACAGTCGCCTTCGGTTCGGGTTTTCAAGGTGCTCTTTTGAAGTTTTGGTATTGTTCAGACTCCACATGTTTGAGCTCATGAAATATTTATTTTCATTTGATATATTTATTTATAGTTTTATTTTGTGCATTTTATTATAGACTTTGTATGTATTAATGTATCAACATTCAACATTCAACTTAATATATATTTATTCGTATGTACATTTGATTTATTAAATTTATCTGTGTATTTATTGAGTATAGTATATTCCATTTCTTTACTTATCTATTTTTAGTGCCACCCCAAAAACCAACTTTCCTTTCAGATTTTCAAAGGTTAGTTGGAAGAAATCTCTTTATGGGATAAGCTCGCCTTTATACACAAATATATAAATTGTTTCTGAAAATTTGTAAGTTACTTTGTGGTACAATAAAGTGTTTAAATAAATAAAATAAAATAAATCAAGTTTAAGTTTTTAATATAGTTTATAGTATTTTATTCTTTATTTAAAAAAAACCACTAATAAAACGTTCGAGTAGACTTTTCCCCCTTTCTTTAAATACGCTAGACCAGACTAGAAAAGTGTCGCCAAGAACTAACAATCTAGGAACATAATATATTTATGAATACTATTTCGCACGTTAAAAAATGCAATAATGATAGACTTAAGTATCATTTTTAAAGTAACATTGAATGTCGGTTATATCAATTTTGCGTTTTATAGACTCAATTATAATGTACAACATATGTATAATTAAGAACGATAAAACTGACAGTAAACATGATCAATAAAACGTGTTTAAAAAAACAAGAGAGAATAAAAATCAAGATTTCATTTGCCACGATCGAAATTTTAGCGAAAAAATTGCCTCGGCTAGAGTTAACTTTTTCGTTTACAGTTGAAGCTTTTTTCAAGCTTTTACCGCTTGCATGCGAGAAAGCTTTGATATGGATTAACGCTTCGCTTAAAATTAGCAAAGAGCTCTCCAATAAGACAAAAGCCCAAAAGCTGGGAGAAGTGCGTCACATTTCCCGTCTTTAATATTTAAAGAGGAATTCCAGCGTTGACAGGGATTTTTTACTTGAAATTTAGGAACCATGCCTGTGTTTTAGGTCGAAAATTGCAGAACCGATATACGAATAATGTGTATTTTAGGATAAGGTTTTTGATTTTTTCTCAAATCTGTATATTAGTATTGTGGAATAATGGTGTATGGTATGGTGTAACGGGCTGATGTCCGCAATTCGACATCTGGGCGCATTTTTTGCTTGCGGTGAATGCGATTACCTATCGCAAGCTAGAAACAAGGTTTACACAATTTTGTTTACACGAGAACCTTTCAGCTTTTATTGAACAGATTTTGTTACAGTTGTCACGTTATAATTTTTTTCATGACACCATTTTATCCAAACGAATACTACGAATATAAAAGTAACTCTGTCTATTACGTTTTCACGCCTAACCCGCTTAATCAATTTTGATGAATTTTGGTATAGAGATAGACGGGGCCTAGGAAAAGGACATATGTTACTTTTTTGCTCAAAAATAAATCTTAAATGGGGTGAAATAGGGGATGAAATTTTGTATGGAGAACCAATAAAACTATGAAAATAATGTAGTACAGTAGGCTACTCAAAGTACTTATTCTATGTAGATGAAGTCGCGGGCACTACCTAGTGTGTTTTTATTATTATTTTATTTTTTTATTATTTTAACACATTGATATGTTATTCGTTTCCCGATTCTTAATCCCCCAACATTCCATTTGGCTAATTTTCATAATACATTTTTATTTTACCTCGGATTTTATTTAATGTGAATGACACAAATAAATTATTAAACTAAGCTTATTATTTATGAATAAATTTGAAGTTTTTATTTAAAAACCTCCGATAATGGTTTAAAATATGTTCGCAAATGCGTACACATTCACTTCTAGCACTCGCTGATTGCCGTTGTGATACTTTTTTGAGTTGTACTGCTTTTTCATATACTAACTTTTTATCGCTGGGAAATGCATTAAGCATACCGCTTGGGTGAGTAGCGAGTTGTTATGTGGGACTTACCTACTTAAACTCAGCGGTTAACTTCACCGCCATACCGAAGCGCCCCAGGATCCGCATGCGCATACTACTGGGACGCCTCGGCGGATGGCCCGCAGGGAGTAGGCTTATTTGAAGGGTGTCTCGAGGTGGACATAGAGCACCCTCAAGCTTGGTAGGAGGGTGCTTCTGGCCCCAGTCTACACTGGAGGAAGAAGGTGGGCGTAATGCCTTCTTAACTTCCTAGCCACCGTCTACAAAGCGGATTCATCATTCAGATTTATTTGCTATGTGTACAGAATTTTAAGAATAATGATTTAGTCAAATCGAATATTCCATTCGAGGAGAGTCACTAAGCTGTACGAGCTATCAATACGTTAAACGTCCTACTATAGTGTATGGGTCAAAGTGTGCGTGAAACTATACGTTCACAAGAAATGTGAATCTACAGGTTTCATCACGATGGTTTACTTCACTGATGACCGCTCACGCGATGCGCTCATCCTACCACAAAATGGCGGCTATTTGGTTTCGCAAATTAGAAAAGGATTCAGTTTATTGCGCATATTTTATGGAGGCTTAGAAATGTAAATTATGTAAGTTTGACATTAACATGATTTTTCGCTTTATTTTTGACAATGTTAATTTTTACTAATTTTCATTATATTTTTTCTTTACATATTTACTAGTTTTTGACAGTTTTTAATTATAATATT